GTAGCATGGAGCATCATACTCTCTCTCTCTCTCTCTATCAAACAAACACTTTGTAAAGAAGCCTTGATGCAAGTAGTTAATGTCGCCCGTCGAATCGATTGAAGTATTGAGTATTGAGTCTTGAGTCCAATTTGCCAGAAACATGGCCTGCTGGTCTTCCCACTCTTCCGTCCCAAAGGTGTGTGGGGGGCATGTGGCATACACCTCAAACACCCAGGCAGAATCCATGTCTTGCGCGCTTTGAGGCTTGCCGTGGTTCGTCTTCACCATGCGCTGCCCGACCGGTGGACCGGGTGCGGGTGGACCTGGTGGAGGAACCTGGTCAAGGACCTGGAGGAACACGCTTTTCACATGGATGATGTTCAACCAAAATGTGGATCATATGGGTTTTCATATGGGTGTTCAAATGTGGATCTTGAAAGGCAATGCTTGCAGAATTGCAACCATTCCACATAAAACGCTTTTTGATCGAACTATATCGAATTGGGCTCATGACGGCCGCCCCTCATTGCCCCTCGCCGGCCGGCCGTACGAATTGCTCCGAGGCACGGCCCGGTGTATGGTTGGTTGGGCTCTTTGTCCTGCAACGAATATCATCGGCACGACCCTCGCGGCCCACCTATCAAGACCTATCGAAACAAGACCTACAAGGTCTACCGTACTAAGCTGGTAAACTTGGCAACCACGAAAAATATGTCCTGAATGCAATTATAGCCGCTTTCCCTGAAGATTCTGATCACAATAACTAGATACATCTATAATCAAAGGCACCCGAAATGTTCTTATTAAAACAATCCCATCTCTTTCTTTGAATCACTTAGATTCCAATTGACACCTACAGCCAATGATTGAGCCAAGTGCAAGTCATCTCCAAGTGCTGGAATCTTAGCTTCATACAGAAAATGTTCCAAACAAATGTGACTGTATTTCTATGTGTTCCTTGTCGTGCTTGTGTGGCATGTTCCTCATAAACAAAGGAGAGTTACTTCTCCTCGTCTCCTTTGCCTTCCTCTGCATGCTCTTCATGGTCTTCTGCCTCTTCATCCTGCTCGTCATCTTCAGGGCCTTCATCCTGAGCGTGAAAATGTGTTATTATATATATATATATATAGAATTGTATCTTCGGAATTATTGCCAGTTATGTTCTGCCTGTGGTTTCCAAGAGCCTGTTCACCAGTGAGAGACAAATCTGGAAATAGACGTCAAGAGCCTACAAACTTTGCGAGTATACAGGACCTTAGGAACTTCGTTCTGCAAAATATCAAGACCATCCGTGGATGTTAATCTTGTTCTCTGGGCTTTTCAGCTGGAGGCTGGATGCAGAAGCAGCTGTTGTCACCGTTGTCAACGTACGTGTCCAGTCCCCGCCTCTGGCATGTTGTCCATTTCATCTTCCGAGGGCAAGTCCTTAGTGTGTGGTAATCCAAGGCTTAAACTGAAGAAAGAACATGATTGAACACGATTTAACAGGATTTACCAGCTGCCGCGTGCCAGTCCGCCTTTCAAACCTGCAAAGTGGTTGTGTGACAAGTTGTGTGGCCAAATGCAAAAGTGAAAGATCCCATGATTCTAGTTTGGTTGAAACCAAAGCCTCCCGCAACCTGCAGGATTCCCATTCTTTGAAGGTCGGATGCAAGTGTGGATCACGTTCTCCAAGCTATGGACTTCCTTTTAAAAAGAACCAACACACACCTCTGAGGTGGCCGCCCCTGGCCACTGTAAACGATAAAGGAGTACAAACATCTTTTCGCACCGTGCAGGTGTTGAACGATTTCATGGGTTACATACAGTAGGGGATCTACCAGGCCCACGCCTGATGACGCCCAAGCATCTCCAATGCTCGGAATGTCAAAATTGGGGTCAAAGGCATCTTTCGACTCAGCTCTTGCCCTTGGCAGACTCAGCTCAAGAGCCGGTCCAAGAGCAAACAGAAACGGGGATTCATCCACAAGCACCCACAGCTCGCCGTGGCAGGGTGTACAGGACTGCCCAGTAGCACCAAAAGGTTTGAAAAAGTGGACCCCCAATTTGCTTTGAAGCCGGTTGCTGCAGTCCCTAACCCTGGCAGACCCAGCCCTGATGAGATTTGTGTCTGTGTATTATAACATATATATATATATAATATTGTGTACACACACAATTGATACATAGAACTTAGAAGCAAGCTTGCACACCCCCACGTCAATGTCTGTCACAAGAAGCCTCAAAAGAAGACTTTTCTGAGGTCTCCACAAACATAACAGATTTCCTTCAGAAATGGTGGGTAAAAATTGCACCCCTTTTCCTGACCATTGTATTACCATATTGCCATGTTCATCAAGGACATGTGACCACACTCATGCGGACTTGCAAATCCCTGCTCCTTCACCCTTGTAGAAGGAGGTGGAAGCCAAGTTGTGACCTGTTGTACTAGAAGGGAACTGAATAGCAAAGCAATTGTATAATATTGTATATAATATACAAAATGGAGGCACGAAATGAACTGAAGATCATTCATCACTGGAAACCGCACCAAAACCATTAACATGCGAGGCACTGCGTGATACGCCCATGAAACGCGACTAATCAATCCTGATTAGGAGCTTGACCCGACGATTCCCAGCTCCATGTTGATTTGTTAGAAACATGTCTAAAATCTAGGATGGCTTCTCATTTTCTTGAACAAATGGAATCAGCCATGCCTGAAGCATCCTGAAGCTCATTGAAGATGTGCTCAGTCAATTGGTTAAGCAGTCCCGTGCGCACGGTCACGCTGGGCCCCGTGCTGCATGGCTCGACGCTGGAGCGCTGAGAGGCTGCAGTCACCGTTGGCCAGGCACTCATCATCCTGCATCAGTGCTCCAGTGGGCATGGGACTATATAAGAGTCATTAGAGTCCCAGACAACTCCTCACCTAATTACAGCATGGCGCACTTTTTGGGGGTGTAGCATACCTTGACCATGAAAAGCATTCACCATGTCCTGTGCAGCTCACCCTGAAAAGAACATGAACACCTTAACACCTTCCGGAACGGTCGCTTGAAAACCGACCTTCCGAAGGAATCGAATCGAAGCGCCCTCCGAAGGAATCGATTCCTCGATCCTCGGACTCCTCGGGTCCTGATCCAACGTGGGTTCGGCTCGTGTCGCCAGAGCGAGCGCCAGTGCCAAGATAGGTCGTGGAAACTGGGCGTGTGCTTTGCGAAGTGAATCAGGAGCCAGGAGGGGGCCAGGGCCAGGGCCAGTTGTTTCTTTTCTGTGTGATGTTTTGTTCAGACTTTGCTTCAAACGTTCCTCGCACATGTCTGTGCTCTTTTCTGTGCTCTTCGGTCAGAAATGCCAGAAACGACTCGTATTTTTGCGACGCTGCGCGGCTCGGACCATCTTTTTCCTATGCCTCATGTGACTAGGGGACCTGGAATAGTGTTTACTGTTCTGCATAGCTTCCACGCAAATACAAAGCAAATACAGTATTCCTGACGTGGTTGAGTTGTTGGAATGAGCTTTCCCTAGATGTACGAAAAACTTACGCGAGAACTGTGATCATCGTTGATTTGGTTTGTTATTTTTTTGGTATCTATTTGGCATCTACCTGACATTGCTTTTAAGATTTGGCTAGAATCCAAGCTTCTCCAAAACCAAAGGGCTACGTTCAGGATATGTTTCAATATGCTTCAAGGGTTGCTACGCGTTGTTGACCTTTTTCGGTGCTTTTGTATGCTTCTGTATCTACGTGACCTTGAATGGGGTTGAATTTGCTTGGTGCAAACCTTTGGTGTTCAAATCCCTGGGGTACTTTGTTTCGGGCTTGCTCTTTCTACTTCTCCCTGCTCCTGGCCTCAGCTTTGGGTCTTCTGCCTCTTCTTGGGTAGGGTGCTGGGCAAAATGCCACTGGAATCATTTCTGGCCTTGCTGTGCTGGCCCTGGAAAACAAGCCCATGTTTGTCCATGAACGTTGGGGTGGTCATGCTTGCCTGGGTGTTCAAACCTCTGGGGTTCAACACTAGGTGTTGTCCTTCATGTTTTTCCAAGGTTGCTTCTTTAGGTCCATCAACCAAACTAGAATTGAGCAAGCAACATGATCCATCGCGCAAAAGTATCTTCCAGTTGATCATTCTTTGGAAAAGGGACTGTTCTCCAATCCTTCATGTTTTTGACTTCTGTCCCAGCTTGGTGTGCTCTGCATCGAAAACCAACCTAGAATTGAACAAGCAACGTGATCTATGGTCCCCCCCGTCGCCCTTACAATTGTTCCTACAGGATCCTTTAGGCAATTCTTCTGCAATAAAATCCAGCAAGCAACCCACGGGGACCAGTGGAATAACCAATTACTGCATTGGCCATGTATTTCCATATCTTCTTTGGCAGTACGGAAGACACGCAAGACCACCAAACGGTTCACTGGTCGAAAGCAGGGGTGCTTGTCGCACCCATGGAGTGCACTCCAAACAAAGAGTCCGCCCAGTGTGCTTTGCCCGGGACTACGATCCCACAATCTCTTCGGCTTCCAAAGACCACAGTCTGTTGCCGCCAGGAAACCATGATGGAGAAGAAGTGCTAGTGTGCTTTCTTGGAGGAATTGAATCGAAAAGGCTGCGGATGATCAGCCTCCTCTAAACCTCTCCATGTCACCGGACAAAGAATTACAGCGGGCAAAGACCCGAACCAATGACCATACAATACTATGCAACCCAGCATGGTTCTTCATTGCGTTTGCTTTCCGATTTTGCGTTTGTTTTTTTCCGATTTTAACCTGAGACATGGTTCTTTCAAACAAACCTCGCCACTAAGCTCGATGTGAAGAGTCCCCACTGAAAAAGTTCACCACTTGTGCTGAAACTGTGAAGTCTTGAGCGCTGTCAATGTGGGTAAGCATCAAAAAGAGCTGTCAAACTCATGGGGAAGATTTCCCCAAGCGCCGACTCTTCAGTTCAGTTCTCAGTATTGACTGGGCGTTGACCAGAGCGGCCCTGACGCTCCATATTGGAGGCCACTGTGCGAAGGTAGGCTGAGGTACAAGCCCTTCCGGCTGAACCTGCAAGGTGAACTGCAGAAACAAGCAGGTTTCTCCACCACACATTCTTTGACACAACACAGATTTACTGAGGAGAAGAAGTGATTCTCATTCCATCATTCCTGTCCTGTCTAATGTCCCCAGAAATACATATATATATAGAGAGAGAGATTCTTGTATACTCGTTGTTACAGTAACTCTTAGATAGCTCTAACCCTCAAAAAAAAAAACAGACCTAGGACCTAGCAGATTGTCCAATCACTTGCGGGGTGTTCCACCCGTACTGTAGGCATTGATGTGATTCATGCGACCGTTTCGATGTGCTTCGTTCGTTTTGTCCTTTTGTTCCTTTGTTTGGGTTCATCTCGGTTCCGCAATTCATTCAAACAGATGGACGGTGGGCAAATCCGAGTGCCTGATTCTCTGAAATCCAATGGCACTGTGAACCGCTAGTCTTGAGCAGTGAGGCATAGTGGCGTGAGGTTCATTCTTCGATGTTCATTGATGTCCGCTTCACCAATCCCAAAATCGATGCTTCTAAGCGCATGCCTCCTAAATAGAAACTCCGCAGGCCTGCGCCTCCATGAACGTCAAAAACTCCGCGGCATCCCCTGGACGCTTGGCCTTGGCCATGGCCTCCAGCGGGCGGATCCAACGAGGGCCCTCGCCACTGACAGAGTGCCGGGTTGGGGGCGACACTTGCTGTGAAAGGCAGGAAAGAGGTCGAGATGGAAAGGTGTCAAGGGAATTCATTCTCATCTTCAACATAAGCCTCCAGGTTTCTCCTCATGCAGCTCATTGGATCAAACACATGGTTTGAAGATCTGGATCTTTTGGCCGAGCAAAACAGGAGACCTGCAGGAGGCCTGTTTAACAAGCTTCTAGAGACTCGGTAGAGTGACCACTTATCGTTTGAGTCACCCGACGTCCCCACCATTGAACGGACAAAGGCTTTCTGAGCGGCTGTCCGAGCAAGGCACGTGACCCGAGAATATCTATCCCAAATGTGCTTTCCCCCTTGGAAGAAAAAGCAAAACAAAACAAAACCTCCCACATGGAAATCATCCCAAAAACATGGAAATCGCATAGCCATGGCTCCTTTTATCCCCTTTCAGACGTTCGATGCAGATCATACGGACCGATGGTCGCAAGTGAGAAGCGCTCTGTGCTGTTTCTGGGCACCGGAGTTGAACCGGTCCTCCGTTCATGGTGTCGAACGAACACTGGCCGCGGCCGCATTCAACCGACGATTGGATACCATTGGCATCTTTGTGGTGTCGAGGTGACCCTTATGTCAAGCGGACCCACCAGCCACCTGGGAGCTTCACGAGGAAGCTCAAGCCGGCCTTTCTCGATTCTTCGGCCGATTTGACCTCAAGCAACCTCCCCATCGGTCTGGGGTCGGACCTCGTCTTCAGACGGGACCCAAATGCCCAGCCTCCAGTGCCCGGTTGTATTGCCCCACCGCGAGAGTAGTGCCTGCCATTCATGGCTGTTTCGGGAAAGAAAATACGTTCTCCACGACAGAACGTAGCAAAGGGGTGGGTTTTAGTTCGGTAGAGTAACTCTGGGGCAAGAGAAAACAGGGGCCACAGCATCAAGGTTCATTTCAGACACAGCTTCCTTCTAGAAAGCAATGATGTACAAACAGTGATTAGGATATCATTTAGCAATACAAGAATTAGCCGATCACAACTAAGAAGCGGAAACCAGTATGAAATGTTGTAAAAGCAATCTTAACACCGGCTGCAAATAAATAGCTTAAGCATGAACACCGAATGTCTTCCGCTTTCTTCACCACAAACACACACTTGAACGCTCACCCTACCACCCTACATTGACCTAATCTGCAAATCAACCAGCGAACAAGGATCCCAAACCACCGCAAAACCAAAAAACAATCAAAAACACTAGTTCATCTATGTTCATCTCGTCCTCTCCAAAGGAACCTCCTCCTCGCGATGAGGAAGTATCCAGCCAAAAAAAAGAAAGGCGCCTGAGTCAAGGATCTTCTGGAAGGAGCTCTTCACCTCCGAGACCTTGAGCGTCTTGGCATATCTCTGCAGGATCGCCGACACCTGCTCCTGACGTTTCCGAGCAACACCCGCGCTGGGAGCTGATGAAAGCAGGTGTACAACCTGGGAGCAGCCATCGAATCTAGCTGCATTCTGGCCCTGGTTGGGTCAGAATGTCTGGCAAAAGTCGGAACGGACGGGAAACCAAACTCCTCCAGACTTGAAGTGCTAGCTCAGATGCTTTCGAAAGGCTCTACTCAGCGGCATCGAAGCGGCTCCGAATGAGCTGAGCATCGGCCAGCCGATTCCCCAAAATCCCCAAACCCCGGGCGGTCCGGGATGGGAGAGGGTCTCTTGTCAGACCTGGCGTGAAGGAAAAAGACATGAAAAACACCGGTGATCGCAGGTGTTTAACGTTTTCACCCAACAAAAACGGCCTGAGAAGGTACTGAGAACTGAGCTACCTCAATTCGATCACTTGACCAAATGGTTGAAGCCACCCCATGGCACCAGTTTAGGGTTGGGTAGCAGGATCCTGCCAGGATTAGAAGCAAGGCTCAACCAATTGCATCATACGGAAACAAACCACTTGCAACAACAGAAGTGTTGACAGGGGCATCTCCTCAAGCCACCTTTCAAAGTCTGGTTCCGCCTGTCACAGTACTGTGATTGTGCTTGAAGCATTCCAGCATTGGCGATCGATATGAGATGAAATCCTTCCGATTCCAATCAAAGGGAAATTAGTGAGGTTTAGTAAAGGAATGGTATATATATATATATTTAAAATATATATATATTATATATATAACATTATATAACTTCCTGATCCAGCTTGTATAACTCTCGCGGACGAACTCTGGAAACCTTCCTTGGAGTCGGTGGCGCCCTCCGAAACGCCGGACGGGCGCCTCGCGCCCGCATGGGCCGCCGTACGTGCATGCTGTCGACTTGGCCTCCGGCGACCGAGCTGATGGAAGAGGCACTCTGGGACCATCCTGGAAGGACCTCAAACACTGTATTAAACGATGCCCTGCTTGTCGTTTCAAGAATACCCGGTGTGGGATTTCTTGTGCCGACACGGAGTTGATCCAGTGGTTGGGGTCGCCCCCTCGCTTCAAACAACCCCCAGCGATAGTCGATAGACTGCAATCCTTCTAGCAGTGGAAATCCTGCCAAAAAGGGCACTTTTGTCTGCTGCGACTCACTTTGCTGAATCACTTTCAGTCCACGTTTCACGAGTGTGTTTCACAGGATGGCCCGACCCCTTTTCCTCAGATGCAAAAATCCTACGCCCTGGAAGATGAACATGGAACCTGAAAACCACTGAGTTGTAAAAAAGGGAAACTAGTTGTCCAACCGTTCCATGTAGGGCATCGCTACGTCCTGCGTGCATCAAGCGCCTCGCTTCGTCCGCCCTTGATCCTCGCTCGCTCCATCCGTCGTCGCTGCGCCCCTCACGGGGAGCGGCCCGGGCTGCTCCCTCCCGACTCACTGGACGAGGTGTCGGAGTCGCTGTCGAAGTCCGGCCACCAGGTCCACCTGAAGCAGGAACTGGTGGAAGGATGTATAGTAAAAGGGAAAAAGCAAGTGTAGGACTATATAGTATACTATATATATACTATTTTGAACTATTTTGTATATTATATCAATGTGCACTTTGCTACAAACACTATACTACAAATGTGCACTTCTTCATCTTCTTCCCTTTATTGAGCTACAATATACAATCATAGAACACGGGCGTACGGATTTTTATGGTGTTTTTTAAAGATATGTTAAATAAGTAACATCAGGGTGCACAAAGGCAACTAAAAACAAAAAATGCTGGAAGACAAGCCCCTATTAAGAATCCATAAGAATCCTATATGAAGCTGTAGACACTTCTGGTTCCAGTCCAAGTTGAAAACAAGTGTTGGTTTCCAGCATCGAACGAGCCATGTGAAGCGCTGGCCGGGCCACTTTCTGAAGTAGCACTGGAGCCAGGGACGCCCTTCTTCCAGAGCCATCAAAGGCTGTTTCCACACCCAAATAAAATGCGTGTGATCGATGATTCCGATGTCCTGACACATCTGATTCTAGCAACAAAGAAATGAAACATTGAAACTGAAGCTCACCGTCTTCGGCCAATTCCTAGGAGGCTAGAGGAAATGAGGACAGTAATGAGGACAGTTCCCTAGTTCGCTGAGGAGGTCTACTCAGTCTATACCACCCCCAAACTAGCAGCCCTAGCGAACCTGGAGTCTGTGTCAAAAAAGTTCCAGAAACCGGACGCCGTTCTTTCTTGCGGAGTTTGCAAGTGAAAAGGAAAGTTCTGTATCTCCATGGTGACCACCCAAGGATTGATTCGATTTAAGCTGTAATATCCCAATGGAAATTCTGTACTGGCTGCTGGGCACCGACCCTGGGATTGTTGATGTGTGTTCTTGGTAATTTCATGCAATTTCAAATCAAGGGTTGATAATCACAATAAGGGAGCAAAAACAAACGCGAGACACTTGCTCCCAGGCGTCAATCGCTGTGCACGATGCCACCATGCATCGAAGCACGGGCGCGACGACGATGTTGATCGCCAGCAAGAGGAGGCCCGACACCAGGTTCCACAGCAGGCAAAAAAACAAATAGACAATACAGCCTCTCCAAACATGGAACGAAAATATGGTTTCATTTCTTCACATGTGTTTAAAAGAAGAGGTGACAACGAGGGTGTTGTTTTGCGATGCGTGACACCGTGATACCCCATGTCTCTCCTGGTCCGGTCCAACAGTGCTTGTCCAACATGGTCCAACCGCAGGCGCCGCAGGCCTGGCAGCAAGATGAGGGACTTGAAGGCCTGTTGACTCCTCAGCCTCACATGGAAGAAGCAGGGGAAGGTCAGGATGATGGTCAGGCTTACCGGAGTGATCAGCAGGCAGAAGATGAAGAGGAGAAGTCCTAGCAAGAGGAAGCACCACTTGAAGGGCCATGTCACCAGCTGAATGCAGGACAACCAACAACCTGGCGTTGGTGTGAGATCTGGAAATTGCTGGCATGGGCCAGTGGAATAATGTTCCGCGACTCCATTGGCGCCACCTTGAATCTCTGCTCCACAACACCAGCACCAGTCTGCACCACAGGTTCTTTCAGCGCAGACCATGTGGTTACACCCACTCGTCCTGTCGATATGTTTTCAACGGAAATTCTCAGGTCAACATGCCGGCGAACGACGAACGACACACGACCCCCGTTTTCTTCTCTATGCGATCCCCGGATCGACAGCAGCACAGCCCCTGACCCAGGTCCTCACGGTGTGCACTCCACAGTTGGGGCATTGCTTACTATCGGCCAAAGCCCCACTTTGCATCTCCTTCTCCTGCCTCGCAATTTCTTGGCTGTACTCGTTGCAGGATCGACCAGCATGCGCATTCGAATGGTAGTAGCAAAATGCGCCACCACAGCTGGGGCAATGCATCTCTGCCTGGATCTCCCCTTGCAGCAGCTTTGGTTTGCACATCCTCTTGCAACGCGGGCATTCTCTCACCTGCCAAAGGTCGGGGGCTTCAGAGGCTGAACTCAGTTTCTTCTTCCATGCGGTGGCAGGATACGGCTAGAAGCCACACAAAACACCCCAAAGAAACGGCTCTGGCGTTCCGGCATTCCGGCACTTCTGATCTCCTCCAGTCAATCTTTCCCAGAGTTCGCCCTTTTCGTGGCTCAAAGCCAAGTGAAACCCACTTAATTACGCATACTCGACACCACCAGCTATGAAGAGGTTCAAACAGCATGGCCGTTGCCAAAAGGCCTTGCCATTTAGGGGGCATCCAATGGCATTCAGTCTGCGAGAGATGTCTATGGTCCTGCGCTTCACTCTTCATCCATTACCCGTCCAAAAGAAAAACACCGGGGGGCCACCAGCCAACTGTTGGTCTTGGCACAGGTGATCTCCTTAGTGACTTGCGAAGCAACAAAACAGCCAAAATCCTTTACTAACTTATATATGTAGAGACACATAAAATCGAGACCACCTACTTTCAACACCTTTCGACCAACCATCCTTTCAAAGTCAGTGCAACTCACTTTCACCACGCAAACACTGATCCTGCCACACAAAGAACAACTCCTTCAGACCCTTTGTCCATTATTTTCCTCTGAATTCCACCCGCCCGTGGATGCGCCGCGTGAACGCGACCGCGCCGTGGCGTCTTGTCCCATCTCCACGAAGCGCTTGTACTTGGCCAAAATCTCAGGCCCTGCCAGCCTGGAGCGACGCGAGGTGCGGTTGTGATCTAACGGCGAGGTGCGGTCTTGAGAAAGATTATGATTCCAGATTTGCATAGGTGTATATGATTTTTCTGTTATGTGTGTGGTATTGTGTGTTTTTCTTCCATATATAGATAAACTGAATCATGGAGAATCACAGCAGTTGCTACTGTAGCTGTCCTCAGGTCAAGTTTCTTGCGTTGCGTAATCAAAACAGTAAGGTGTGACTCAAAAATATTCAAGCGCCACCATGTACTCGAAGAACGGCCAGGTGATGCAAATACTCGGTATGTGTCGGGCTCATTACATGTTCCTTCACGAACTCGACACAACGAAGAAAACAACAAAGAAAAGGCAGCGAATTTGTCACAAGTTACCCCACATGTGATTTCTCTGTAATGATCTCTTTCTCTTTACTCTCAGCTGAAACACATGTTTTTCACATGCTCAAAAAAGAAGCATGTAGAGCACCACATCTTCCGATTCTGTCCTCCACATCTCCATCTCTTTTTGTCGAGAAGTCCTGGCCTTAATATTTCATCCTCTTTCAAAGCCGCTTCGCACTCCACCATTCCACGGCGGCTGCACAGAAGGCCGTGGATGTGGCCTACCAACCGGTGCCCAGAGAGATCTGGGTCGGCTCCAGAGATGAATGACATCTTGGGGGAGTGGTCATTGTCTCTTTGGGAGTGGTCATTGTCTCTTTAGAAGTAATAAAGTGGTCCATCATCCTGATGGCCCGAGGGAACATGAAATCGAAGGAAAATGAATGAATAACAACGCCGAGGGACCACATCTTTCTCGTTTTGTATGCTGGAAGATTTTGTAGAAGCAGGTGAATGGATGTTAATGGCAAATTTCTGGCCTCTGATACCTCTATGGCTCTATGGCTTCAAGATGGGATTGTTTAGCTGAGCGAAGCGCTTTGAATGATGCTTCAGAATCCTCAGAGTTTCTGGGAACGGAAGAATGAATCGATCGCGCGCGCGCGCGCGCGCTGTAATTAAGCGCTCAGAATCTGCGAGATTCTACGTCGCACCAGCCTGATAGGACACGTTCTTCAATCCACTTGCCAGTACACTCCCTGCAGCAGCCATGATTTGGGTCTCGGCATTCCTGAAAAATCACACGCTCCTTCAGCGGCAGGCTGGAGAGACAGATCTTGCATTGGAACAGAGGTGTAGGAGCCGGTGTGTTGAAGACCTGCAGGGCCCGTGGTCGCCAAGGGAAACCGTCTCAACAGACCACGGTTCCGTCAGTCTCCACCGGTGAGGGCCTATTGAAACCGACGCGTTTCGAGACACTGAAGGGGTCGCCTGGAAAGCTGTTTGCTGGACGACGTCCCATCCATGGTGTGCAAGTTGCCCTGAGGTCATCCTTCCGCGTGGAGCCACCGAGTAAAAGAAACCATTGTGGATGAAGGGAACAGCTGGGCCAGCTTGGCTGATCCGGTGAACACGCAGAAGCACCGCACTTGTGGCGGATGTCGAAGCTGACACGGTGGAAGGCGGGCTTTGGCCGCGCATGCACGTTGACATGGGCGAATGCTGCTGACGCCTCACCGGCCGAATTCACAAAGCCTCCTGGTGGCTTGCATTGTCCATGAACCCAAAAGGCTCTTGGCGCCGATCCGTCTTTCTGAAAATGATCCATGCACAACATGGTCTTCCTTTTTCTCTGTCATATCTGTCATTGCGAAAGATCTCTCGGGGGCGAGATCCTGTAGCATCCAAAATCTGAGATCAACTTCCAATTTCTGGTCCTGTCGCGCCCTGTCGGTCCATCCGAGACTTCCATCCGAGAGTCCCTCGGTTCCGTCGACCAAGCTCAGCCTGGGACTGGACACGAAGCTCCAAAGGCCTTGCGCCGAACCGAAGGGAGTCCCAGAAGACTGAGCCCGTGGTGCTGATGTAAGGAACCCACCCCAAGCGTATTTTGAACACAGAGAAATCTATAATTATGACGCTTAAGCAGATTTTAGCGTCCGAAAACGTTTCAGAAGGTGGACACACAACAAAAAGAGTAAGTTCAGCTGATTCTGAACTTTGGTGGCTTGACCATGTTCAACCTTGTTTAACCCGCTTCAACTTACTGTCATCCCATAAAATGGATCCATACATATGAGGTTCATCACAAGAACGTAAACACATTTACTGTAAAAAAAAACACCATCAGCTTCACTCTCCCAAAGTCCAATCCAATAGGAAAATATCGGGCAACCACTGAGTCTCACCAAGTCAAAGAGTCTCACCCTTCCTCCCGGTTCTGAAGGCAACGAGTCTCACCTCGGAGCGGTTCGAAGCTCAGCAGAGCAGCGCCCAAAAGCACGGCGCGGACGAGAACGCCCGGAGCCTTGGACGAAACGCGATGATGGCAGTTGAAGCCGGTCGCGAACACTGCGCGAACACTGGGCTGCCATTCCAAAAGAAAGAGCAAAGGTTCAGGTCAGCACAAGATTTTTAGGCTGACTTGGGATTAGTATGTATATATATATATATATTACGTAATCATTAGCCTTGTTTCTATGGTTTGTCCTATACCCCTTGTGCTCATCCTTTCGGCCTTTCAGTTCATCCTTCGGGCATGTTTCTATGACTTTTCTCTATATAATATAATATATATATATATGTACACATTGTAAGGGCTCGAGAATAGCTTGGATCTAGGAAAAAACCGGAGCCCCAGTGCCCATGAGTGGCACGTTCACTGCCATGTTTGGGGGTGCATCCCATCCCATCCATCAACAATTACCTGCGCTTACTTCCTGGGATGGAGTCTTGGAGCCTTGTTCAAAGCGATTCAAAGCGTGAGCGCGAACGTGTGGGGTACAATGTGAATGGTCAAGGATTGTCGTCGAGTCGGAAAACCTTGACAAATGTGGTCTCTGTTGCAAGTCTTGGGGTGCTTTGTGTGCAGGACGGAAGGTTTTGCACGACATGAGTGTGCAAAGATGCGTTGTGAGTGGAGCGCAATGGAGTCCATCCAGCTAGGCTAACAGAGCTGAAACGTTGTGATGGAGGATGGCATGATGGGTGCGTGTGCACAATGCGGTCAACAAAGAAACTCGGTATGGAGATGTGGAGCTTGCAAGACTACTGACTACCTTGACAACACCAATGGTGGCGACAAGGTGCAACGGCGATGTGTACAGTGTTGCATGCCTTGTTTTTGCGCCTTTTGATATGAGTTTGATTGCCTTTCACCAGATACAGGCGGTATTTGAAGTTGCTCTACAGTGAGGAATTCTCAGCGCATTTGATTTGATTCCTCAGCTTGTGTAGCCTTGGTGTTGGGCTTGCCTGTTTTCACGTGAGCGCCATGCATGCCTTAATTCATAGTTAGTGCACGGCTGCTACACGCTAGACCTTTTGGCACTGCCTGGCGCACCGACGGGCGCCGGACGACCTCTGGGGCATTGGCTCTGCCCCGACGACCTCTGTCTGGATGTAAGACCATCGCGAAGGACCCTAGGTCATGGACCGTAGGTATGATCCGTCCGGTGCTGTAAATGTTGGATGTCGTCACTGTTTCCTGAGTAAAGAGAGGATACCAAACGCCGTTGACTGCAGGCCACATGAAAAAGCTGTGTCGCACATAACTCCAAACAAACAAATAATTGGTATTGTCATTGTCCACTAACAAAGAGAGCTCATGTGGTGTCTTTCTTGCTCACAGTGTGTCACGTGAGCCCTGTACACCCCATCTGCTTCTTGTAATCTTGTAATGATGCCATTCATGCCATTCATGCCATACAGTACACATCTATAAAAACTATGTAATTTGTAATACCACCAATCATCTGCAAGTAGGTTGGTCATTCGTGTCGTTTCATCTATTTTGCTTGACCAACAGGCCACACCCGCATCCAGCAAGAGGAAACGGTCAGAAACGTACGCGTTCCCAGCCACATGACCACTCAAACGAATTCCCCTCAGGCACACCCACAAAGAGCGAAGACTCAAAAGACAATGTAGCTGTGACGCATCGCATGCCTTGGAAGTAATAGCAACCATCAATGATCTTCAACCATCATAGCAAGATCAAATACTTTGAATCTTCCACCGGTGGTTGTTCACCAGGTTGTGGCTGACTGCAGGTGTTTCTGTCTTGCAAGACAAAACCAAACGAAGTATGCAGTACAGTACGGTGTTTGGTTTGTAGCTGATAAGGGACTCAGACTGAACATCTCAACACCAACTCCAGAACCACATCTTTGGCCATGTGTCCATTTGCTACTTCATTAGCCCCGTGGTTCGTGGGGCTCTGGGACAATTTAAAGGAGCAAATTCGAACCATGCCATTTGCGAAAAAAGTAGAAACTGTTCCTCCGTTGTGCCCAGAAAGAAGCTCACCAACAATTCCTGTGTTGTTTCACATCAACAATTCCTCCAGCGGTGGGAAGGGGGGCCAAGATTTCAGCACGCAGCTCACACAGCCGGGCAGCACGCAGCTCACACAGCCGCAGCGAACCGTTTTGACACCTGTCGCTGAGACATCAGCTGCGGACCTGGGACGTGACCATTGCCATGCAGGGAATTCCAGTGACACGAAGAGATCGCAACAGTGCCTGGATTCCCAACGAAGGACATATAACAATGGATATAATATCAGTGCCACGGATATATAAATAATAACGATAGAATAGCATAAAACGGTATAATAACACGTGTACCTTTTCTGTTGCGATCAAACCCTTTGATTCTCGGTTCGGTGGGAACAGTGTCTTCATGTGGCTAACAGTGCAACACTCCTGTCGGTGGGCAGGAATTACCGGCCAGGAGTGAACATGCTCAAAGCGACGACTTACCCGTTGGGAAGATCCGAGGGGAGCATGGAAGCAAGTTTGTGGGGTTGAATCTCAAGTTGACTCTGAAGAGTTATTTTAGTTGCTTTTCATTGTTTAATATCATGGCCTTCAGTTCCTGCTCATCGATGAATCCACGCATGTCGTGCCAGTGGCTCTTTGTACAGGATGGTTCAAGACTGCAAGTCTCTGCAAGTCTCTGCAAGTCTCTGAAGTAACGAGCCGAATGATGATGTGTATAAATATATAAGTGGTCTTGTTCGCCGTCTCTTTCATAATTTGGGCAATTGTCGAACAAGCAGCCTTGTTCAACACTCCAATCTTTTCACAACATGTATAAACATCACGGTTGGTTTAGTATCACACACTCACACAATTGACCTCCTATTCAGTAATGCCACCGGACCAGATTGTTTTTAAGGTTCTGCTGAAGCATGAGCAGTTTTGCCTGCCAATACTTGCGCTTCCAAGTTTTGAAATTGATCTTAAAGCACTTGTTAGACAACTACAACCACGACACCTAACAGCTCCCCACCAGGATCGGGCTCTGTAACTATTGAATTTCCAGGTGTATACGGAACACATTTGGACTCGTAAATTTGTAGTCATCGGATCTGATTCGAACCACCGCCTTCATCCAAGCAATCTCGCCACTTCTGAACAAATCTCAAGCCATCAGCTACCAGTTTGATGTTTCTGGTGGTTGCCCATCTTGAAATGCTAGCCCTAGAACCCTAGGATCCCAAAGAGCAGGAACCACTGGGATAAAGAAGGACATCAAAAAACATCCAGCGGTAAATGAGCGGACATATAGACAGTTCAAAGGAACATCTTAAGAGGCCCACAATGAAGTTCGAAGGATATTGAAGAGAATAGGTTGACATGCACTGACAAGAGGAGAATCGCAAGGACAAGAAGAAAAAGGACATCAGAATGAATATAGTTTCAATAAAATATTTGTACAGTATATTACAGATATTGAAAATAGTATCATGTATTGAAAAGTATCATGTATTGAAAATATAGAGTATATACAGTATCATGTATTGAAAGGGATTTCTACAAAAAACACAAAAGAACCAAATACAGCTCGGCAAAAGAGATGTGTTTATTTAAAATATATATATATGGGGAATTCAAAAGGTAATCAAAGACAACAAAAATTGCATTCAAAAGGAACTTAGGAGGAAACATGAAATGAAAAAGGACCTGAAAAGAATGTTATGAAAAATATCCAAAACCTCCATAAAAGGTAACTTGTTCATACTTTGTCAATGTTTCCTGGACATCTTCTACGAGTGGATCATTCATCCGAAGCTGGTATTGCTGTATCAAGCATCTCTGACACCAGATAGAAATACGATGAAATACGCAATGTCTCTGTCCGGAGCATGATACAGCTGTAGCATGTCATCTGTGGCTCGTCTTCCTCACCCCAGACCGAGCGTCTCACTCGCAGGTTAGCCAACCACCCCTTCACGCGAAGCTGTGAAGCGAAGCCGACGGAGCTGTGGACTGTAAATGCTTCGCCTCCGGTGCGTGGCCCCGCACTCGCATGGAAACAAGTATATACTCATGGAAGATTTGTATACACAAGATGTGTCTTGTTTGACTTTATTGCGCGGTATAGATTGTGGATTTAACTATATATGCATTGTACAAAATACAACATTGTATGGTATATACATATGTGTATATGTATATGTATATAGTATATATATATATATTGACAATATTGATTATGCCATATTATGCCTATATGCCTACAGGCCTATGAATGTGGAGCATGCATGTGAAAATGGTTTCTGGTCTATCCTACCTAACCTCCTGCTAGATTGAAAGATTGGGGCAACGCTTGTGCTGACATGCTGCACAGAAGCATAAGCCGCCTTTCACAAGGAGTTTAGGGCTATATATATATCATTATGCACAGTGTGACAGTCAACCAGGCACCTGCTCCTGCAAGCGCTGTAAGGCTTCCTCTTGTGATTGAACCTCCTCCATTTGCTTCTGCAGACCTCCGATCAGTCGACAGCTTGCTGTGAGATGCTGTGGGTCGGGGGGGTTGCGCGGCAGCGGCCGCGGCCTGGATCTAGCGACATCAAACGCGGCATCATGTGGATGGTTTGGCATATAGGTTTGCTGAAAGACCCTTTTTGGTGAGGGATCTGTGTCAGGATGTGTCAGAGGCTGAAAACGTGCCCGCATGTGCCCGCATATGCCCTCCTTCAGATTGAGATGCCATTCTTATGCTAATGATTAATGTGGTCGCAAGCCTCTCTTTCCACCTCCAGTGCTGGCTGGAGTCGTGCTGCCGAGAGGCGTCTCTCCAGCTCCTGGTTTTCGGCCAGCAACTGCTTCTCCTCTGATGTCTGTGGAAGGATTTGCCTTCTGCGTTCCCATGTTGTTCGCATGGCTTTGACTGGATGATGGTGCCACCAAGTGATTGAACATGTTCTTGAGTTCAGTCTTTAGGGTGGTATTTCTTGTACGAGTATCACCGGACCCAGATTTCCATGAGGCCCGTACAGCCCGTACATGCTGCTGTTAGACCTGCGGTTAGACCTATTGTTTCGAGGTGTTTGGCCTTCTTCGCTTGAACAAGAGAGCCTTGCCCCCCCCGGGGGTGTTCCTTCCCTCACCCCGCTCCTGCACCGGGACGCGGTCTTTCGGGTGCAATCCTCCGGACCTGCACCGACGAACGGGGCGAGTCTCAAGGTCGGTCTCTGGCCGGAATGGAGTCCCAACGAACGACCCATGACCCGAGTCCTCTGAAGCAAACTCATGGAGTCGCTGCAACGGTTTTTTTAAGGCTCAGGCGAAGATCTCTCTCTCTCTCTCTCTCTTCATTTGGTGATCACAAGACAACAATCACAATCCAAGTGCTGTCAGTTCACGTGATGATCCAAGCCCACCTAGCCCCATCGCACGTCAGACATTTCACGTGACCTCCCGGAACGAACCAACGGATAACGGATCGCCCGAGCAGCGGCCGCAGAATGGGCTGCCCATCCGAGTCACAGAAGAGTATGATGAGTTTAACGCTGGCATGGTTGTCTCAGTTGGCAAGCCCAATGCTGTGGCCACACTGCCCAGGCTGTGGTACACGCTTTCTCCACGCTTTCTGGGGAGATGATCAACTCTACCCCACGACGGAGCCAGCGACTCTTCAGTGGTGTTTGCCGCATGTCACCATTCATCACCCATTGGATTCGGACGACTTTGACGACTTTGTCATGTCATCCTTTCATCTACCATGAGCTTCGACAACCTAAAAAAAAGAAGGACGAAATTGAAGAAACCGGTTATCCAAGGTGCTCATGAAGAAAGACCGGTTTCACTTGAAAAAAAACGGTTTTTGGTGATCATCCCAAGATTCTAGACTTTCCCATCCAACCGAGCCAACCCGTGCTGCTTCAGGTGACGCAGGTGACTGATCTCAGCCAAGGATCAAGGTGTTAAGAACCACTTGAAGAACCATTGCAGTGTTTGCATACGATCACTGAACAAATTTGCTTGACCTGTAGGATATCGCCCTGAAACAAATCAAATGAAATGTGGTCCTTGGGGTGAATATACAGGGTGCTTTGTTGTATTAGCAGCTTCTTGGGAAAGCAAGCTCCCCTGGCTTCGACTCTGCCAGGTCCCCCGCAGTTCACCTGCAACCCGTCCAGGAACCGCCTGCTGTCTCC